GCCATTGAACCCAGTGAGTCCGCGTGCGGTTCGCTTTTAGTGAGGATGGAATAGTCGGAGTATGATTTCTATGAGGAAAGGGTTGAATATAAAGAGATTTTAGGAGCCGTCACAGCATAAATAATATTGTGCTTGGGTCATAAATAACCCACAAACCTACATGTTTAACGCCAGTCTTTGTTAAACCCGTCACTGCGGCGACGATGCCATCGCTAATGGTGAGACTTTTTCAGAGTGCACTGAATATTTTGAAAACTTTCCCAGATCTTTTGCCACCAAGATATGATCTCGTGATGTAAAGTCTGGGTTAAAAGTTCCTAGGCCATGCCTAAACAGGAATACATGGGAGAGTGGTCCAAGAACTTATGACCCCCTGCCCCGTTCTGTACGTACTGCTTTTGGGTGATTGTTTTTTTTTTGTGCCCCGCGGTGCTGAGATATAATCTCGTGGTGACGCTACATACGCGTCACGAAAATGGGTGCACATCGCAAAATTTGCTCACGTGAAAATAAGGGTTATCACCTCCTTTTAGGACAAGCGAGATTTAAATAACCGACGGATGTGACGCACTCGCTATATTTTATTACTATAGTTGGTGCTATCGGGGAGTGAGTATCATTCACTCTTTGACTGCTCTAATTATCTCCGTGACCTTGAGAAGTTTAAAAATAAGGCGTATTGCTGGAATAGCACGATTCTTCATTTTGCACTACTGCAAAACGTATTAGTGTGATGACACTTCTCTTGCAAGGCAAAGTGACTGGCGCAATCAGATGAACAACCTGCCATTGAAGTATCGTTAAGTGGCCAGATACATTATTAGTACTGGCACCTCCTTCAGTTATTTCAATGCCAGTGCAAACACGCGCTTCTAAACGAAAACCGTCGGTCCGTCCTTGGTTCAGAGTGTGGTCGCGATGCGATGCTATAGATGATGTGTAGCGCTGCCTTCGTGACACGCGTGTCCGATCCCTTTTCCCTGGAGATGCGGTAGACGTGTTTCCCTCTGCAATGTCACACGTCTGTCAGATACGTTCCTTCATGCTTCTTTTATGTGGCTCGAAGACGTGCTGCCACCGCATCGCAACGCTCTTGAAGTCGGCGCACGCAGGAGCGTTGCAGCGACGCTTCCCCATTGGTTGGCCGCATAGCGCAACGAACGGTGACACTAAAAAACATAGTGTTTACCGAGTCAGCGTGACAACAATATTGTGAACACGAGGCATGCAAGAGGCTGCCCCACGGAATCTGTACAAAAATGATCGAAAATTACTTCGCATAATTTCTGTCATGAGGCACTGCATTAGAGGCTCTCACTCCTATGACCGCAAAATACACGTGAAGGATAGGTGATGATCGAGAGAAGGAAAATATTACAGGAGATGGTGTTGAACGGCTGAATCAGGTGCATCTAGCTGGCATTGATAAAATACAGGAGGCATTCTTTGTGCGCACTTCCCGCGTTTATCTCACCCCCAATCGGTGCATGCAGTTTTATCGAATGACAGGCTCATGGTACCATAACTCTTGAGATTGTATGAAAGCGTAGGTCGGAAGCTGAGTGATTGCAGCGATGTACTAACACAAGCTTTTTAAACAAAAATGATGCTTGCGTTGATTAGTCAAAAAATTATTGCCCATTTACATTCGTTTCGTATTTACGTTACTTTAGCATAGACATACGCTGCAGTGCTTTTAACTAAAACTGCAATCCACACGGCATTCCTATGGGGTAATCCAGGCATACAAGTAACAACGCCAATTCATTGGAACAGACGTGCTGTGTCTCATATTTTGATTGAAAGTGCCAGCAGCTAAGAGCTCATCAACGTTATCGAGCACGCAACAGACGTCCTCCGCTTGGACCCAGCCCAGTGTGACAAACTACGGAATTCGCTGAAAATTGACGTGACCAGGAAATTAGAGCTATACGTGGATTGAACTATTCACGGAGTGGTAAGGGCTGGTATGCAGAGCTTGGTGATTAGTTGCTGGAGACTCCACAATGACGTCTTTCCGCGGACGATAAAAGACAAGAATTTTTGTAGCGCATTGCTCGCCGTTAAAACGAACGCAGTCGTTCGGGACCAGCAAAACTTACGAGTGAAGGACAAAAACAAAAATGAAGGCAGCTTCACATTTTTGGTAGAAAGGCGGACAAAAGTTCGGAGCTGGGCAGCCTTCTTTCTCTTCCAATTTCTGTTTCCTCCTCTCTCTCCTGCTTATGCTCTCTTTGCAGTGAAGCTTCTTAGGCCAGCTTATGATGTCCGACCGTTGTTGAGGCTTGCCGTCGTCCCCAGTCGAAGCACAGGTGCGAAACATCTGTTCGTTAGGCCGTCTCCAGATCGTACATACCGTGCGTATAGTTTAAACATAGACCAGTGATCTACTCGTGCAACTGCCCGTCCGTGAATCCGTCTATCCCTGCGTCCATCCGACCGTCCGTCCATCTGTTCGTTCTTTCCTTTATACTAGTCGGCGACTTCAACGTAGACAAGGATCTTACGACCTAAGTTCCCTCCATCACCACCATTTTGTGGATCTGCAGTAATCGTCCCAGTTCTTCTGTCTGGTTCTTTCTTTAGTTTCATTTATTTCAGTACTTTTTATAGTTTTTTCTATTCTTTCACTCTCTATTCCTTGATTGCGCACATTTATTTTCTATTTTTGTACGTGAGTTTGCCTGCTTACCACGGAGCTGAACCATGCTATTTAAGTAACTAGACGAATAGAGATGGGGTGTATCATGTTCAGCAACCCTTTTCATATCATGAATAGTAATCTGCCTTTAACCCTGTTGAAGTTATATAACAGCGGCGTCTTCCAGGTACCTTACCTATAATGCAGAAACCTCGAAGCCTACCGAAAGGGTTCAGCTGAAATTGAGGACGACACAGCGAGCAATGAAAAGAAAATGAGAGGTGTGACCTTAAGAAACGACACCAGATTGAGCGAGGGAAGAAAGCGGGCTTATTGATTGATATGTGGTGTTTAACGTCCCAAAACCACCATATGATTATGAGAGACGCCGTAGTGGAGGGCTCCGGAGATTTCGACCACCTGGGGTTCTTTAACGTGCACACAAATCTGAGCACACAGGCCTAAAGAAAGTGGGCTTAAGGATATCACAGTTGAAATCACGCAGACAAAATGAACATGGGTGAGGAACGTAGTACGTAAGCAGGATAACTACTGGTCATTAAGGATTACTGACTAGATTCTCAGAAAAGGCAAACGAACGAAAGGGAGAAACGCACAAAGTACACTACAGTGCTCCGCACTTAAAAGCATCGTCCGGCAGGTTAGATGTCTACAGCGTCTGAATAGCTTTAGTATATAACAGAGTAGTTGTCATATAGTATGTTTCCAATCGACGTGTCATATGCTGTCCAGATATTTGCTACGTATGTATGAGCATTACTTGGTACATGCCTGTGCGCATATTATTTTGTGAGCTAGCTTAAATTGTCGCGAATTGTTTAGTAGGGCAGCCGCACGCAGAAATAATCCTCGACAGCTTCGGTTTGTATTGTGGACTGTGAGTGTATTGTCACGGGGTCGTGATGTCGACGATGGCAGGGACTTCTGCAAAACGAAACTGATTGATTGATTGATATATGTGGTTTAACGTCCCAAAACCACCATATGATTATGACGCCGTAGTGACGCCGTAGTGGAGGGCTCCGTAGATTTTGACCACCTGGGGTTCTTTAACCTGCACCCAAATCTTAGCACACGGGCCTACAACATTTCCGCCTCCATCGGAAACACAGCTGCCATAGCCGGGATTCGCACCCGCGACCTGCGGGTCAGCAGCCGAGTACCTTAGCCACTAGACCACCACGGTGGGGCTCAAAACGAAACGGAAAGCCAGCTTACAGCGAAACACACTCGCATTGATAGCGGTGAACAGGGCATCGGCTGTCAAGCTAATGACTAGCGATGACGCGTGTCGGCATTTGTACATGTGCAGTTGAAAATTCCAGTGATAATGCTAGCAGCCATATAATTTTAAAAAAAACGATCTGAAATGTTCCCGATGTGCGTGTATTCACATCAGAAGGTGCTACGGTTATCTTCATGGTTCTTTAGTCAATCGGTGTGATTGCACAAGAGAGCACTTGGACGTGAAATGAGACGATAAGAAAACTTGAGAAAGGAGTGTGCCAGTATCAAGTACCGATAACAACAGCTTCTTTAAACTATATCGCGAGTTTCCGAATTACGCTCAAATAAAGACTAGCGCAAGTGTTGTTTAAATGTGCCGGGGACACTCTTCTAGCCTGGATAAATACTCTAGATGTTTTGCAAGTTTTCCAAGACAACTTTTATTTTACTTTTGCAGCATGACGGCTTAGGTAAATAACCTACAGTACTCGAGGCATTTCCTATAAACAAACAGCTGCCTGCGTAAGAATATCACTGTTACTTTTCTTACAAAAACCGCTGCATAACAAGGTCGCGGTAAAATTACAGAGCCTTTTTCAATAGCAGGAGGCCGGTATGCTTTTTCATAGAATAAGTGACTCCATATTACGGCAGTTGCGAGTGACACATAGCTGTGGCGCAATGAATGACAGAAAGCGCTCTGTTGCTACTCATGACGAAAACCTTTATTCGCGAATTTCTGGACGCAACGCAAAAGCTGCAATATGGAGGCGGCATACGTAGCATGAGTAAAAGGGAGCGTAGCAGAGAAACAATTTCCAATGCTCACTCGCGTAGTTTCACTGCTGTCGAGCAGTGATTGCTTTCCTTCATCTTGTGTGACTCTCACGTGGGTGAATCCGCTTCAAATGAATGATAACGTAAGGGGTTGAGTAGTCTTATGTACTTGCTCGCAGGTGAACTGCAGGCATTTTTTTTAGAAATGAACATGGAAGTCATGCGCACTCCTAGGGTAAAATGGCTCCTGGCACCACTCTGTTTACCTCAGAATTGCCACTGTCATGCAGAAGAACAACCGTTTTTCTCAATTTTTTTTTTATGTTGCGAGCAGGCTCCCCTGCAAGGGCACATGTACGAAACCGACAAGGACTGGCATGTGACTATCATTGCGGCGGCCGCCTTCTTCTTCGGCTCGGCATCCATTCGCTCCTCTGGCATCTTCTATGTCAGCATAATGGAAGAGTTTCGGGTATGTCGAGCCACAGCGTCGTGGCCAGACACGCTCATCGACGCAACCAGTGAAATGGCCGGTAAGTCATTGTTCTGCTTGCACTCCTGGAAGTACGTATCACATTTACAGAAACAAACAATGAATATACAGAAAATATGGACATAAAAAAGCCGAGGGCTGCAGCATTTTAACATTTCTCATTACCAATGCACTTACCGTACAAGGCGAGATGCGTTAAATGAAAAATATGAGTACTATATTTTATGCATCTCTGGTAGTGCTTCAAAATAACTCACGTCATTACAAGTACACTATTGACATGAACCCTGGAGTTCAATTATTGTCTCCACTGGTATTTATGACAGAATGTTCAGAGAATTTCTGCCAGATTTTCCTTTTTTTATGCTGTCATTGATTTAGGGTATATGAAACTGATAGTGACAAAGCAACTGCTGTTATCTTCAATTTAGTTCTTATAGCAATTTTCCATATGCAGGATGAATTTAGATTCCAAAATCAATTCTGTTTTAATATGCATTCATTAATTTAGTTGGGTCGGCAAATTTGGTAATAGCTGCTGCGGTTTTCATTGTAACTATGGAACCGTCAGGCTGGCAATGCATTCACAAATTTCAAGTGTGCTCAGTAAATCCAACGCGGTTGGCTGTGCGGGCACTCAGCGTGAGCTAAGTGGCTTACAGTGCACATTGAGTAATAAATGAGGAAACTTGAACGAGAATACATTGAGGAGAACGAGAAGACGAAAAAATCAACAAGCCTCCCAACTTGTTACTTGGCGCTACAAGCAAACGCAGTGAAGGTAGCTGCCAGCCGCATGGAAACACTCACCCGGGTAATCTGTTCTTATCATCCTAAGCGAAAACCTCCTGCCAGAGAAAGCAGATTTCACTTTATTTTTTTACGCATTGATATTAAGGTAGAAACATTCTTAGTAAGGGGATGTCCCGTGACACGAACTTGTGACTGCGGCCATTGCGTGCCCTCTGAACTAGCTTGTGCCCATACATTCGTTTATGAGATTAGAACAACGTGATATCATATGGTGGTTTTAGGACGTTCAACTCAACATATGAATCATATCAATCAAGAACAACGTGATACTACATGAGACTAACTAGACGTATTGCGAGTCATAAGTTTATTAAGGCCGACTTATGTTTAGCAGATAAATTTTGTATGCCTTCCTGGGAAGTGACTGCCAAGCGAAATGCGGCATGCTTCTGTCAAGTTGTTTAGGATGTGCAGTTCTTTCTGCGCCTTCACTCTCTTCAACGCTTCAAGGTAGAATTAAATAATCAAACATTTTATTTCAGCTTGTGCTCGAGACATTTGTAATGGCGGCCGTGCCGTAGATGAATGGTGTTAATCTGTATTTTTTTCAGGTCTTCTCGTGGCGGTATTTTTCGAGCACGTCAACCCTTTGAGCGTGATGACAGTCGGCAGCATTTTTGCCTGGGCGGGTGTGATGTGCTCTGCCTTGGCACCCAGTATCGTCTGGATATCACTCACGCTTGGCGTTGCTCACGGTAGGACTTGATGTTTTCATGGCTTTTCTCATTTGGAATGAGCTTTTTTTTCAATCCAGCACCTAAATGTAGAAGTAGGACTAAATGTAAAAGTAGGACTCATAGTATACCACGTATATCTGTTACACCATGACATGGCTTGTGCATATACCCTTTAATAAGACAGATGGCTAAATTTGGTGAAAGACTGCTTCAAGTACGTTTTTTTTCAAGTCTGAAGTTTATTAGTATGAGATAAATACAAATGGATTGCAAGCGCTGTATCGCCTTTTAGCCGAAAGGGCTAGTATTGGAGCCATTTAAAAAATTATAATGTACTGCTTTCATCATCAGTGGCATTTAAATACATAAAAGGGTTTCTTTTAGGACGCCAACTCTTCATACCGCCTGTAGTAGAGTTTAAAATACCTACGCAAAACGCTTGAGTCATACCTTTACCGTGAAAAAAATAAGTCACGACGTTACACAGACGTTATTCAGCACTGGTGTGTGCCAAGAATATAGTGGGTTAAGGCGTATGCCATGCTTTTCATTCAGATTTCAAGATTTCATGCTTCGCAACGTAATCTGAGGACACATTCATTTCCTGTGGCATCATGAATGAGGAAAAGCGAAAACAATTACTGAGCCCTACTTATTAGTGAACACTAAACCTTATTCGTGGGAATATGAAGTTTGCAAGGGGTCGTCACCTAAGCGAACAGAGATAGCAAAAGAAAATTCACTCACCTGTCTACTGGAGCAACTGAAAAAGTAGTTTGCATGAAGTTTTCAGTAACACCTCCCCTGAAGCGAATTCTCCTGATCGGTAATTGTTAAATGAAATTAGCGCGCTTTTTGTGCGCTTTCTTTAAAAGCGCAGTGAATAACAAAGCCAGTAAAAGTGTTTTATAATTGTATGCATGAATCTGCACCACACTTTCTGCTACAAAAAGTGGAAGTCAACTTTTACTTTTCATGGGGCCCTAGTACCCTTTGCCTCATGATATGCAATTGATATGCCATGTGCAAGGAAGCTTAGCAATCAACACTGGTTTTCAGATCGAATCCTTCTGTAACCACTTATTTTGAAACTTGGGGAAGACCAACTGAAAACCTACGTCCACTACAAAGAAAAGCGTAGTGATATGTGCTCCAAAAATTGACCAAGCCTCACCAGAAAAGAACAGAAGCAAATGAATGCATCCGTAACATAATAATAAATGAATAAAGAATAAACTATTCACTGTTGAAATACTGAGTCAATACAGACAATCCACGCAATAGGAAAGAGGCCAGGCGACAATAAATTTGTACGTTATATGCGACATTCGTTGCAAGAGCCGAGAAACAAATGGGCACCAAGCAACTGGCAGTTAGGCTCGAGCGGAAACTTTACATTGAAAAGTATTTTTGGCTTTGAAGCCCCCAGGAATATGTATCTGTGTGGTTTCAAACTCAACATACCGAAGTACTGGTTGACATTACAACATAACAAAGTTCGTCTAATAAAAGAGGCCTACATTACCACTTCTTTAAAGACGAATACTTCCTCACTTGAGGCGAAATTATGGTGCCATATTCTCACCTAAAATATGACGATGAGCAATGTGCAAATATATATTTCGCTTATTAGGCTATATCTCAAGTTTCTAGCCTCATGGAAGCAAAATTTTTCATCAATATAGGCAACAGTACAACGGCACACGGTTGTTTTGTATTTTTTCAAGTCCGTATCATGTTGAATATAACCGACAATTTTTCATATCAGGCTTTGATGTTATGAGTTTAAACTGCCCATAAATGAATAACCAGCGTGTTACACATTTGGCTTAACAAAACCGCGGTGATAACACTTTGAAACATCATACGCCAAGTTTAAAAGTTACAAGTAAATGTAGAAATAAACAACTGAAACAATGACAAAATTACTTTGTGAGCTACCCAGCTTTGATAGTCGCCCACCTTCACGAAGTGGATCAGCTAAAGATTTCAATAGAGTTCACCGGCTTTCGTATAGGAGCCACTGTCGCAGCAACGTGCGCTGGGAAATCATGAGCTGAAAGCACCATGCAACAAGTGACACCAAAAAGTAAACTGTCTGGTATGCGTAAGCGTGGAGTGTACAACGTTGTGAACAGGGACACAACGAAATGCCGGAGATGTTATGGTACAGCGGTCTAGCGGTGTACACATTTCTCAGCACTCTATGTCCTCACTTTAGCCTCATTATAATGATTATCATTTCTTCGCCAGCAACGACTCTGTCATTATGTCGTACCGATAATTATTGCATACATAGTGATTTATTGCCACTACGATGTACGCCCATACATTTACAGCAGTGCTTGACTAAACGAACATTAGAGTTCACTGCCAATCATGAGGGGTTTTTTTCGTTTTTTTTTCATCTAGAAATTCAACTGCAACTTGAGTCTCTTATAGTAAGCGCCACAGACCACTCGCAGTGGTTCTTCGCTAAGCTAGTTTCTATAAATACAAATTCACTGTATAAATATACAATGCATATAAATGTTTCCATTAGTCGTCCACTTAGAAAAATGTCACTGAACTTTGTTGCGAAAGAGCTACATTGCAGAAAGAACAACCACGTAGTATACGCTTATGATATTTATCCTTACGAAATCATGATGCACAGTTTGGATTTGCAACAAATTAGCGAGGTGTTTACAAAGCTGCAAGTGCAGCGTCATGAAAATTGTTCAGCATCAATCTGTCAAATCATCTCAAGGGGACATCATGGCAGATGGAAAAGCATGCAGTTGTGCAAAAATTAAGCGTACTGAGCAAGCAAATGCTCTGCTGTGACATTTACATCCATTGTCTTTTCTAGCCGGCTGTTGAATGGTTATTACCTTCGAGCAATTTATTTGTTATTCGCTACTGCAATGCCAGGCCAATAATGACAGCTGCATAGTACCAAAATATACAAAAAGAAAAACTGAAAATGTAGACGTAAGATGAAGTGGTGCTTGAGGTAAAGTGGTGAATTGCGATTGAGAGTTTGTCATGTCAAAGTATGTTCTGCGTCTTTAGAGCCGAGAATACTTCAATTGAGTTTATCATTCTTTATTTCTTGTTCAGGTGTTGGCATTGGGCTGGTGTTCAGCTCGCTGCAAGTGTTCCTCAGTCAGAATTTCAGCAAATACCGTGGAACAGCTCATGGGATTATGTACGCCGGGGCAGCAGCCTCCGCAATGGTTTTCCCCTATCTACTTGAGTACACCACGCATATGTTTGGCTTCCGCCTCTGCCTTGTCATCTTCGGCCTCATATTGGTCAACCTCACCATCATCACCCTTCTGCTGGACAGAAACTCCTGGGCTGACGGAACCGCAGAAAGGTAAGAGGGACATCTGGGGTCTCACTTCGTAGCGTCTATGCCCAAATCCCTTGAATTTTGTGCGTCTCCACTTGATAGTGTAACACCAGCTGTTCCACCGCTACCACTTCATTCAACAAACCCTAGGAACGACTTGTGACATAGCAATTTAGTTGAAAGGCAGCGGGATCTTATTTCTGATAACTTACTTATGCACTGAACGTCTTTTACTATTCCCTTTGGCATAAAATAAAACGCGAAAACAGTGCAAAGTGGGACGATTGATCGCAAAATACAGCTCTTGATGTTGTAGAATATTTTGAGTATTGAATGTTTGTATTGTAATCACAGTGACAGCTTACAAAGTTGCACTCATTGAGATACAGCAGCAAGGAACATAACGAAAAATGCAGATGAATGGATCAATTTTCTCGTTCAGATGAATGTGCATGCCTCCCCGCGACCATACCACCATAGGTTTAATGATTTCAGCTTGCATTGTAACTAATCAGTTAGGCATAACCTTACTCCGAAAAAAAATTGTCTTCTTACGCTCAAGGGCTTGCCTCGACAATACCTCACCGGCGTCCCCTCATGGAAGGCTTAGGCCCGGCCACCTAAACCTGCTGGTTTCTTATAATAATGTGTATTCCTCCTCCTGACGCTCAATAATAATTCGCAATCAATAGCATTTATTGTTGATGTTACCCTTGCATAGGCCTACAAAGAAAGTAAACGCAGAATAGTTTTAAAAAAACCGTTAAATACCACTGACGAAGACTACCTATGCTCCTGGCCTAATTTCCGTCCGACCTTTTGTGCCGGGCTTCGTTTTCATATTGCTTAGTGAACTTATAAGTTTTTTGCTGCTTACTCGCAAAAGTCACAGTATTTTTCCACAATTTTCAATATGATTTACCACACGCGTGGTAATGAAAGATGACCCCAAACGACTCCTGTTACGACAGGCACAAGACGAGTTTACTGAATATCGAACGTGTCCGTTCATGATGTTAACAACAGTGTCCTCCTATTCAATAGATTGTTGCAAATAGAAGGGCCTATAGTCGCAGTATATTTGTTGGAGCAGGCCACCACGTCTGACAGAAAAATTGCGAAACCCTTGCTACATAGCACATCTGGAAGCAAGAGATATTTGGCGTATTAGCCTATCGTTTCTTCGTTCTGTGTTTCCTTCTTACTTTCCTTCTTTCTTTATTTTGTTTCTTTCTTTCTTTGTTTCTTTGTATTGCGTCATGCTCCCTCGTCAGGGATGGAAATACAAACTTCATGCACGACACAATTGCTAAAAGCAAAAACGATGGCCTTGCGTTCATATCCAGGCAATAATTAAATTGGGCAACGTGAAGCCACAAGTCGCCCTCATAACATATCAGGTTAGCTTTTCAGAAACGGCGGATCACCTACATGGCCGCAATCGCATCAATTGTTGGAAAGTAGGCTTAGTGATACGCTTGGAAAATGCGCACTTTAATAGCGACATTCTGGTACGCTCGCCGGCTTGGGCTTCCTCGCTGGGTTGCAGCCGCTGAAGTTAGTTAGCTATAAAAGCTTTGCGTGGAAGATGAGTCGATGCCAGTGAGGTACCATGCGAGTTTTTGTATTCACCAAGCTGCTTTGTGAAATTTCTTTCACAAAAAGCGAGATTTCTTTCACAAAAACGACTTCCAACGATTTAACAACGTTTTATTATTAAAAACCAGCACCGAAACAATACAGATATGAACAATGTGACATCAGGTTGATCAGAGGAAAAATTGCGTTTACACAGCAAACAGTATGTAAGCCTATCGCAACCTCGAAACAGTTGGAGAATTGGAAAGACTTGTTACCCCGACCATGCGCTATAGTGTGAGCTCGCGACGAACCATGACACGTGATATCAGAAGAGTGCCAGAGCGCAAACATAAAATGTAATGTGATAGTACGTTTTGCACACAATCGTCACTGAATCGTCCAGAAGCGAATCGACGATACGTGCCACAAACAAATATATCGGTGTAGACAGATACCGTGATTGCGAATGTTCGTCTGGCATTACTCGCGGTGTCTGAGCGTTTATTTGCTGCTGAATATACGTCACTGCTCACTCAAGAAGTGTCTCGCTCACAATCTCTTCAAATAACTCTTTACTGGGAGAGTTGGTGCATGTTGATATACTTGTTTTAAGGCGCGAATAACAAAACAAAAGAGGAAATACGAGGCAGAGCATCTGTCCCATACCTTCTTTTAAGGTTGTGCTTTTTCGAACCGTTAAATTAGTTATGAACACAGTATACAATAAGCTGATGCGAGTAAAACCAAATTAAGTCAATATGAGTCTACAGTGGCACAGGACGTTGGTTCAGTAAAATCACGCCACCTCGCAACGCTACTCTGCCACAATTGCATACAGTTTAAGAAGTATTGTGTGGCCCCACTCTAATGAACGAAGTGTGGTGGCCAGGAAAAATCACTTTATAGGTTTACAGCTCCACTCGCGCACCGCTAAAGTGCGCTCTTATGGCGCAATCACTGGCCGTGAGGTCTGTCCGCAGCGCCTGCCCATTTACGGAGGCTCGCTTGCATCTGCCTTTAGGGAGCGAATGTCAGACTTTAAAACTATATACGTACATAGTTTATTCTCATTGGTGACTTATACGACTCATAGCTTCCAGCTAGAGAAGGTTCAGCTAGTGGTAAGGATCCCTAAATAAATAGATAAGTGAGGCCTAGAAACAATATTTTTTGTTATCCTGGCTGGAGCTCCTTTAAAGCCACACAATTGGTGAAATGAAAGAGCTGGTGCACTAATTTGACGCATGTCTTCCACTGTTTCTCTAGGCGTGGACCCAGGGGGAGTCTTTACAAGTCTACCAGTGATGCGAGAACGTCATCTTCTCCAAGCGTTGTCAACGTGGAGAACGCACTGCCCAGTGTAGGGGCACTCTCGCACACAAACATTATTCTTCGAGAAGGCAGGGTGTTCCGCCTCCCGATGTACTATGTCATAGTGATCACGTGGATACTGTTCAACTACTGCTTCGACGTTTTCATCGGCACTATCGACGACTACGCAACAGACAAACGAATGGGCTTTCTTAAGAAAATGTCTATCCTGCCCATTCTGTCTACCACGGACATTTTCGGTGGCGTTGGTCTCCCAGCCCTGGTAGACAAAGGGTTGCTTAGCCGAAGCGCTCTTCTCAGCACTGCCTACCTCGGCCTCGGAGTCACTACGGCCCTCCTGCCTGTGATGACAGCCTTCCTTCCATTTGTGGGCATGTGCCTCTTGCTGAGCATGTTCATGGGCTGTGGCAATGCCATGTACGGCGTGCTGCAGGCTGACTACATTCGTCAAGATCGACTGCCGGTTTCGTACGGCACTGCGGGATTCGTCGCAGGAGTCCTGCTCATCGCCAAGCCATTTGTCATCGGTAAGTATATTTCGTAAAGATGTAAAGCAAAGTTATTTCGCCCTCTGCGTGCATAGTTGTAGTGTGGTATTTTTAGGATCACACACAAAGTGCGAGATAAGAGTCGCATTACCCCTGACGATAGTCATTCTTGAATGTGTGCATTCCAGCAGCAGCATGGCACCTTGAGAAGGAAAAGTCATATGAGAAGATGAAGTGGGTTTTTTAAACGGAAGACGAGATTTTTTGTCAAATGGGAATTGTTCACGCTAGCGCAACTGTCTGAAGTTTCCCAACTTACTATTGGCCTGTGTGTAGAAACGTGTACATACTCCTAGCAATACGCATTGTTATGGACAAAACTTTGGTTGTATTGGGCTAATACAAATAGTGCTAGAGGCATGCATTACCGCTAGAAGTGTGTCGCTGATTCCATAACTTCCGTTCTCGTACGATGCCCGTGGAATTGTTACCCAAAGAAATCAGCGTACAGACACATGGTTTCTGTACCTTATCAATATTTTTGCGCAAATTCTGAGATGAGTAAAATTATGTCGTGCAGTGAACTTTTTATTTCACGAATTCACGTTCTATTTGCATTACAGTTTATCTTTGTTCGGGCTCGTACCTCGGTACAAATAAATATGAAGGGGCTATAGCGGCAACGAAAGAGTAAAACTTTTTGCTCAGCTCTCTTAACTATGCAAAATCTCTGGTTTTTTGCTCATGTAATCTGTGATCCTTCTTATAGCGTGCCTAAATGGATCCAACATTAAGCAGAAAACAGTTTTTTCTACGAGCAATCTTCATGCGATATACTGAATCTTCCTTACACCTTTTCTTTTCAGGTTACTTCCGGGACTACCAGAAGTCCTACGATGGCCTATTCCAGATGATGTCTGTGATATTGTTTCTGTTGGGATTCTCCTGGCTCGTAGTGGTCGCGTATGAGTGGCACGTAAGCGACTCGTGGAAAAGGAAGAAGCGAAGACTGGCTGTGGTCAGAATTCTTCAGAACTTGTGACACCCGCTGTGAAGAAACACTTGCGTGGTGTGTTGTTCTTGCGTGGACGATCTAGTGCCATCACTGCGTAATTTGTGATCTCATTGGCAGGTGGCAGGCCATTGCTAACAACCATAATTTTCATCATCCATCGTGACGCAGGCCAGGTGGCCTAATTAGTAGTGCTCATAATTATTACATTTGTTCTCGATGGCTGTCATGCGACACAATTTAAAAGAACAAGGCTAGATAGAGGAAGTATTCTTCACAACCTTAGGCTGTTCTCAGAGAACGTATATATTACCGTATATAGCACCCATATTTTCACATATGTATGTTGACTGGTGATCTTACGAAAGTCTGGTGAGATTGAACCCACCTTTCTTTAATTGAGTATGATGAAGTAGACCAAAGATGTTTTCATTTGCTATGGTGCTCACTTAGGAGCGAAAGAGGAATATAGAATTCATAAAAAAGAAAATACAAAAAACATATTATTCAGTTAATAGGGGTGCGTGGTCCACTACCTAACAGTATTTGGATTCTAGAAGTCACTACACAAGTAGGAGCGCTATAGTGTCTACGGTCAGAAGCGGTGCCAGCAAGGAACAAGAAAGGAGGCGGGCAGAAGTCTGTGGCCCACCTGAAGTTTTCGTCGATTCTCATCTTTTGCCCCCCCCCCCTCCCCGTCAAACAACAATAGCCTAAATATAGCAGATTAGTCACCAGCCCATCAGCCCCCTTGAACAATTCTCTAGTCGTGGGTGCACTGCCCTCCCTCCCCGCTCGCGTGAAAGTTTCTGGTGCTGGTTTTTGCCTGCGATGACTTCTATATGCAAAAATACGTAAATCATGGTCACCTGATCATTTTATACAGCCCCGATTTTCAATCTGAGGGAAAATTTTTAGTTTTTAATGATAGACCACAACCTACACTCTTGCTATCTTTTTTCTGTTTCGTCATAGTGTTATTGTTATGCTGAACTACCAACCAAGGAAACACATTGTTTTCACAGCATGATGCTATTAAGTCTAAGCTGAGACACCTGTTGATAACATTTGCCAAGAAATTTGGCTGGGCCAATATAGTCAAACCAGGAGGACATTCAACGCCATTTCGATACATTATTGTGAATGCAAGGAATAACGTTTACGGGTGTTTGTGATCATTCAGCATCACTTCATAAAAAAACAAAAATACTCCTGACGCTTTAATGAATTTTGCATGCCCTGCAGCACTAATACTTAGCCGTGATCTCCTGACCATGAAGACCACATGACCACGTAGACTTTGTGGTCATGTGGTCTTCGACGGAACACTATTGGTATGTGAAACGATGGTACCATTATACTTTATATCAAAAGGTGGTGCAAGCCACGTACTTACTTCATCGTTCTGGAGACAGAATGCATATGACAGTGCTTGCGTGGTATGTTGTCCACTGGTATCGTTGTCTGCACACGTCACAAGGACTGTAGCTGCTTCAGAAGGTACTGCACTTTAAATAATTAGGTGCACGTTTCATTATCCTGCTACCAACATATATTAAATTCGTCCAGTACAATCATTACTATGAAGTGACGCTAGACATTGCGACTACGCATCGTTCAAGTACGGCCACAATGTGTTCTACAGGGTTCCTTTCTGTGGAAACATTTAGCGATACCTCTACCAGCTTAGGAAATAAATTATGCCTAAGAAGATCCTTTTATATGCTTTGACAAAATAATGGCAATGTTACCATTGCGAAACAGTGATATAATGGAGAGAAATATGAGCGCGCGAACTCACTTTAGAAAAAACGGATATCCCGGGAAAGCTCAATTGAGTAAGACATTTTCCTGCAATATATGATTATCATGATTAGTGTCGTTAGCCCCTTTTATTGTGTTTAGAAGAACTTTCATTTTCAGCTTTTTATTTTCTTGACACAATGTTAGGCGCTAATAATTTACAACATGGTATCCGACCGTGGTTTGTGTCAGATATTGTTCTGTGTCAGGTGAAATCATATTTCATGCATACTGTATCTTTACGGCTTTTATAACATACGCACAAATTTCATTGTATATATGTCATTTAGTCGTGCACTCGAAATTCATTTTTGTGTGACGCTAATGTGTGTAGAATAAAGTGCCAAAACTTTTCACTTGTCTGTAGTAGTCAATCGCATGCATGTCGTTTGTTTTTATTTATCAATGTAGCTTGATTTAATGAACGCGAATTGCGTATACAAGGATCATTCGTACCTAAGACTTGAAAGTAACCTGTGACCGTTCCAATAGCATCTGCAACGAATTATGTATAGGAGAACTAAAAGAAATTAAAACTAGAACATCTACACTTGCATGCGTATACACGTTACTAGTACAGCAATTTTCAACAAAGCATTCGAATGAAAAGATCTTCATACACATTCTTGCGATGTCTCTATGTGCTTGTATTCACAACAGATGAACGACAGGTGAAATCCATAACGAAATCGAAGGAATAATGAATGTTTGTCTTTAGAAACGTCGACAAATTAAGGCAGGCTGGTATGCATTGAAGATATTTGTGCACGATATAAAGAGGCAACAGTGACATGGTGCAGATGAAATGATAGAAAATTACGGTCACTTATTTTGCTAATAGTTCCGCCTATCGGCATTGAGCTAACTAGCGTGGTAGTCTAACAATGGCCGAACAATTCATCTGGTGTTCCTAATGTGTATTGCATCCATAATTTGCGGAGATGGCACACTGGTCTTTCAAGCCATCAGGTGGACACATTATCCTCTGAGTTTCCAGATTGTCTGTGTATGTCAGAGCTTTTATTGCCTGAATTTCACTTATCCTTTCATTCTCTGTCTTGAAATGGTATGCACGATTGTAGAAAAGCTGTAATTCCAAGTCAATTAAAAAATATTGATATACACGCGATGTAATACATGGCGTAAATTACAAAAAGTCATTGTCATGCCGTAGTAGTCCTTTCACTACTTTGTATACCAAATGAGCATGACATAACGTGCATGAGACACCTGAATGACATCGCGACGTGATACCATGCAAGGTGTTATCAAGGTGCTTGCCACTTTGACAAATACAAGTCAACTGATCGAAACGATTGCTTCAGTGACATTCTCTGTTTATTTTCACCAAAATATGAGTGACAGGATGTGCAGTTCTTCTATGTCATAGTGAAGTATGTGCAGCTTACATGAAGCATTAGTTGTGGATCGATCTTTGTCATTTCGTCAATTTCATATATGAAATAATATGTACGCCCACATGACAAACATGGTGCGATTCTGGACATGTTGTATTATGAATGGCGTAAATAGGAGCTTATCATAGCCGTATATCTTGCTGTGATATGAGGACATACGTGACAAACCTAAACGGCAAGAAATGCGTTACGTGACAGAAGCGTTTCGTAAGACAACATCAACACATAGTCAAGTGTCACATTTTGTTAAGTAATGATGGCACGTGTTGGCTAAATGTTGAATAGTATCAGCAGGTCACGAATAACATAAGCTTACAGTGTGGGGATAGAAATAGCCGCGCTCGCGGAACATATGGCCACAGTGACGCCATCGGGCAATGAACTTGCCCGCGTACATTTCCTTGCCGATTTTACCACAGATCCACAAAAGAGTGTTCATTTACTAACTACCCTAAAAAAGGCGAACTCGCCTGTCGAACATTATACATAACTAGTAACACGCTAAACAACCAGATACCTTACCAATAAAGAGACACCGAGAGGACATCACTTACACAAATAAACGTGAGGCAGGATGGGTACCACGCTTGCGGTGTTACTGACGTCAGACTCATCACGACAGTCCCGTGGGAACGAGTTTCGTTCGCACTTACGAATTCTCCCGAGAGCTACCCGTTGGTCACCACGCCGAACCGTAAAACTCACGATCGCTCATCTTTATACTACCATGAAACCTCGCTGCCACCAAGTGCGCTGCTCGCGCCAACGCACGAACGCGAACCATCTCTCATTGTGGCAAGTAAATTACACGCTACATTTTGGAGTAGAGAGCGAGGTCGATGAAGACGGAAGACGAAAAAGACACCGCGTTCGGCTCTATTGGTGATTGGAGGGCTCTATACTATGTAATTTTGTTTTGTGGCACGCGGTCAACTATAAGCAAATATTGACAGGAAAAGGCTGAGCGGTGGCTAATTCTTGATGTCGAAGCCTAAAATTATGTTTTATTTACCTACGGCCTAGCAGTCATGCTTGGCTTAAAGTAAAAAGAAGACGTCTGCCTATATAGCCCGGACTTCTTCTGAGTGTTAAACAGTACTTATTTCCTTTCTGCAAAGTAACTTGAAATCTACTTTTCACTGTCCCTGTCCCTTTAATTATTAATCATGACTTAGCAATCGTCACCTCAGTTACTCAGCAAGGCAATTTTCAGAATATCACAATGTATTGTGGTATAGGCAGCGAGGCACTGGAAGTGATAAGGGAATATATCTACATTGGGCTCATATTGTCCGGAAATCTTAACCAGGGGTCTTAAGGATAACAATGGGGAGGAGAAGATTTGGCACGCACTTACCAAACATAAATTCTAATTTACCATTAAACTTCATGTGAGATGCGTATAACATTTGCATATTAGCGGCACTTGGCATTTTAAACGTAAATAAAGTGGCAGAAGAACGATGACTTGTGATGGGCGACAAACATGGGAGCTGCCTGACATATAAATGCTTAGGGCTGAAGAGACGCAATCAGTAGAGAACGAGAAAGTAGTCAAAGTGAAAAGTTTTTGAAAATGCATGCAATTTCAAGATCTCAATGAAATTCCCAAGGACAATTGATTGTGTAAGCAAAATCCCAGGAAGCTTGTTGCCGATTCCTTGCATCGTTGTATTTTTCCGCCTTCCTAGTTGTTGTATTTTATTAGTTATTGTTCCTGTTTTCAATTGTCCCATTTACACCGAGAGACTAGAGAAGATGGCTTCATGTCGTACCGCTTGTCTTTCATTTATATGCACAATTAACTGGCTGCACGCTAAAGAACTCCAGGTGGTCGAAATTTGTGGAGCCCTCCACTACGGCGTCTCTCATAATCATATTGGCGCTTTTGGGGCGTTAAACCCCACATATCAATCCATCTATCAATATATATGCGCAATCAACATTATTTCTTTAGCGCAAGCGTGCACTCATTTCTTGACCAATCCTCCTGAGTGGGTGTAAGTCATGCATTTAGGCCATCTCCATCATCATCACCAGCATTCACGGCACAGGAAAAAAAATGCGCAAAGATGTGTTGATAAGCAACGTGTAGATCTTCTAGTGGGCTTGCATAGTGAAATATTTTGACACGCATTATGCGTGTGTCTACTTGACGATAATCCTAGTGCATCAGCCTCATGAGAACATGATCCTGAGTGAAAGTTTTATTGTCGACTCAAAATTTTACAAGTTGAGAGCCCTTCCGGCTGTTTTTAATTGATTGATTTGTGGGGTTTAACGTCCCAAAACCACCATATGATTATGAGAGACGCCGTAGTGGAGGGCTCCGGAAATTTTGACCACCTGGGGTTCTTTAACGTGCACCCAAATCAGAGCACACGGGCCTACAACATTTCCGCCTCCATCGGAAATGCAGCCGCCGCAGCCGGGATTTTATCCCGCGACCTGCGGGTAAGCAGCCGAGTACCTTAGCCACTAGACCACCGCGGCGGGGCCCGACTGTTTTTAAAGATAGAAGATAATCAGAGATGTGAAGCGTTCCTCCTGCGTGCGTTTAGCTGCACTAGCTTCATCGTCTTCGGTGTCACTGCCTCGACGGCGACGCGCACCCTAGCGCTTATGGAAGCGCTGACGTTCATCGTACTTGCACTGATACTCTCTGGAGCGTACAAGAGGCCTGAAACCCACAGCGATTCTAAAGAGAAGGTGAACGTGTTTCAAGCGCAACGCCTCGCGTCCTTCATGCAACTGTCAAATGCGATTCTTTAACGAGAAGTACTGAACAAAAGACTACAGCGTGTTGTGAAAGACTAGCAGGCCGATCGCTACGGGTACTAGCACGGATGCGCTCACGTGGCTGCCAATGTGAACTAGGTCACGTGATCAAGAAGCACAAGGTGATGTGAAAAGCGAAGCGCACGCTTTTAGAATCGTAAGTTTGAAAACGCCACCAATTCAACTTTTCACGGTACAATATGAAGTGGTGGGACGTGTCTTTACGGGTTGAAGTCCCTAGATAAAATATTTAGATGCAAAGCATCTCTTGCTCTTGTATATGTCCCGCGGCATATCCGCCCACACTCACACTACGCATGCGCAACGTCTTTCTTCTCCCACGCTCCCCCTCTCGCTTCACAGCACCCACAGAGGAAGTGTCTACTAACATGAAATAGTTTCCGAAAGCACAAGGGCGTTTTGATAAGGCGGCTGGCATACCTAATTGCAAACGGCACCATTGATGTATGCTTCTATGTCATGGCTGCCCCCACTCACAGCAGCAGCGCCCTTTCTCAATTTCTCTCGTTTCCATATAGTAGATTGAAGTAAACTACTTACAAGCTCACAAGTATCTTGCATACTTACTTTACAAAGTTGTGATGCCACATACATGCCGAACGAAATGACAAGGCTGATTCCAAAAGCTTGCAGCAATAATTCGTTTTATTGCGAGTCAATCGATCGATGCGTACATAAAGTAAAAGCCACGTAAGTAGTGTTTTAGCATGTTCAGCAGTGAACAATATGCACGCATCAGCTTTCATGTGCAAACAAGGTACATACTACGCATAGCGCCATTGCAAGATGTCCGGAGCACAGAAGCTGTCTAGTGCTGGCTGATTTTCACATCGAACTGCACGAAACCTTCGCTGGTGTAAGTAAAGGTATACCACTAACGTCCCCGCACTTGTGTAGCTCGGCATTTCGCAACACCTCGTTGACAGTATTCAGTAAACTTTCTTTATTTGGTATCAACATATCCGTGTGCCTTTGAGGAGCAGTGCGGTGCGAATGTTCGTTTTCTGGTCAGTGTTGTGACCTAAAGTGCGTCACTTTCAAATCTTTTAGGTGTTCACACTATGCATGCTTCTGAATGCTTCAAATAAATGAGAAATGGTTTTTATACTTACCATTCTCAAATCTTGTGAATAAAAT